TCTAATTCTCAGGAGAGCCCCCCCCTCAAACATGAAATCCCATATAGGTGCTTGAGTTCTATTTACTGACTTTTGGCCAGACTTAATGAATCAGATGCAGTAATGATCCAGAAAGTATTTTGCTATCTTTTAACCATAAGTTTTCAATGATTTTAGCTGATGTTCAAGAAAAATACTGATTTATTGATATTAAAACCAATTAATCATGGCAAAATAAAATAGTGGAAATTGCCACATGAATTACATGGAATAGCAAATTGGTACCACAAAGATCCAGCCCACATAATGCTATTAGTTCTTATTTCCAGCATGTTTTTTATACAAACCATATCGATTCTGTAATAAAGCCAATAGCACCTTTTAGACATTCTATACAGTATTAAGATTGATTTGAGAGGGCAATTGAATTTTCACTTGGTTCTCATAATTTACAGTTAGTCTGGGCTTGAGCAATAGAAAAATGAAGAGAGAGCTGTATAAAATTACTTTAAGTAATTCTGAAGGTAATTTGTCAGGATAATGTGTTTTCTTTATTTAACATTGAAACATTAGTATGCAGCCTTGAATTGAAAACAATCAGAAACTCAGAGATGTTTATCTCATGTTTACTTAGTAGTTGAGATTTCTGTTTGAAAATTACTAAAACCTTTGTTTCTAATGAGGCTAAAAATACAATGTACATACAGTCAAACTTGCTAAAAATGCCACCTCTAGTGAGTCAAACCCTGTCTTGTGTGGTATACAGTCAAACATGCTGAAAAGACCACCTCTAGTGAGTGAAAACCTGTCTTGTGAGGCCACCTCTAGTGAGAGAAAACCTGTCTTGTGAGGCCACCTCTAGTGAGTGCAAACCTATCTTGTGAGGTTGTCGGGGCTAACTCAACTATCGTTATACAGAAAGAACACAACCATACAGTTTAACGTTTACTTCATATATATTAGAGCTGCTAAGGCTACGTCCCGCATTGACGTCAACCCTAGAAACAATTGGTAAAACGCGACGTCTTAACTCCCGCTGTATTCTCAACAGAGGTCATCACCTGTAGTGAGTGAAAACCTGTCTTGTGAGGTCAACACCTCTAGTGAGTGAAAACCTGTCTTGTGAGGTCACCAACTGTAGTGAGTGAAAACCTGTCTTGTGAGATCACCACCTCTAACGATTGAAAACCTGCTTTGTGAGGTCACCAACTGTAGTGAGTGAAAACCTGTGTTGTGAGGTCACCAACTGTAGTGAGCGAAAACCTGTCTTGTGAGGTCACCACCTGTAGTGAGTGAAAACCTGTCTTGTGAGGTCAACAATTGTAGTGAGTGAAAACCTGTCTTGTGAGGTCAACAATTGTAGTGAGTGAAAACCTGTCTTGTGAGGTCACCAACTATAGTGAGTGAAAACGTGTCTTGTGAGGTCACCAACTGTAGTGAGTGAAAACCTGTCTTGTGAGGTCAACAATTGTAGTGAGTGAAAACCTGTCTTGTGAGGTCACCAACTATAGTGAGTGAAAACGTGTCTTGTGAGGTCACCAACTGTAGTGATCAAAAACCTGTCTTGTGAGGTCAACAATTGTAGTGAGTGAAAACCTGTCTTGTGAGGTCACCAACTGTAGTGAGTGAAAACCTGTTTTGTGAGGTCACCAACTATAGTGAGTGAAAACCTGTCTTGTGATGTCACCAACTGTAGTGAGTGAAAACCTGTCTTGTGAGGTCGCCAACTGTAGTGAGTGAAAACCTGTCTTGTGAGGTCACCAACTATAATGAGTGAAAACCTGTCTTGTGAGGTCACCAACTGTAGTAAAACATGTGCATTTTGAACCTCATTTCAAAGGTTACCTCTCTTATAAGTTCCATTCTCTCTGGGCCCAAGGTTGACATTTATGTACAGGTTTGACATTATATGGAGAGAAGTTTTTAAAATTAATCTTCAATGAAAATGGATACTTTATTATGGATACAGGAGAAGGTATACTTTTGTGGGATACTTTATTATGGATACAGGAGAAGGTATATGTTTGTGGGATACCTTATGGATACAGGAGAAGGTATACGTTTGAAGGATACCTTATGGATACAGGAGAAGGTATACTTTTGTGGGATACTTTATTATGGAAACAGGAGAAGGTATACATTTGTGGGATATACCTTATGGATACAGGAAAAGGTATACTTTTGTGGGATATACCTTATTATGGATACAGGAGAAGGTATACTTTTGTGGGATACCTTATGGATACAGGAGAAGGTATACGTTTGTGGGATACCTTATGGATACAGGAGAAGGTATACTTTTGTGGGATACTTTATTATGAAAACAGGAGAAGGTATACATTTGTGGGATATACCTTATTATGGATACAGGAGAAGGTATACTTTTGTGGGATACTTTATTATGGATACAGGAGAAGGTATACTTTTGTGGGATATCTTATGGATACAGGAGAAGGTATACTTTTGTGGGATACTTTATTATGGATACAGGAGAAGGTATACTTTTGTGGGATACCTTATTATGGATACAGGAGAAGGTATACTTATGGGCAAACTTGGTCATTAAATCAAATGTATTTCCAATTATTTCTAATTTGTAGAATCAAATGTTGAATTTGGAAAAGAGGTTTATTTTTGTTAATGGACAGACAAACATGCTGTAACGATTTATTTTATTGAGTGGTTACAATAGTTTATTATACATGTAATTATTAGCATCACCACATAAGCTCTTGTCCTTGCCCAGAAATCTTAACCTTCATGTGCCCAATAAAAAACAATGATTTTAGTGCTTTTACATTGTTAAAAATGTGAGAAATGATGTAACTAAAGTCAAATTTAACCTGATTGGAGGTGATAATCAGATAATCAATAAGTTTCCCTCTAATTCAGCTTGATCTTCAGTTGAACAATACTTTGAAACCTAACACAGTATGAAAATTATGTTAGCTATAGCTCTGGTTTCTGTTGGAATGTTTCATTAATGTGTCTATGTCAAGGCTAACAAACGAGTCCTGTCATGTCAAAAACAGTTCAGTGTGAACAAACTACCATTTTCTTCTTTAACAAGAATTAATTGAGTTCAAAATTTGTAGATTTTAGCTTGTTTTTCAATCCCATTGCCTTGTACTTTAACTTGACTGTCAAGCAATCTATTATAGTTGTAACCAGTAAAAGGTGTGTGAATTAAGGAATGGTAGTTCTGAAAAATTGCCACACCAATCATTAAATCAGAGTAATCAGTGTTAAGGTTACTGGCAGTGGGTGCTCATGATACCATATTGAATGTTGGGATAAACAGAGAACAAGATCTGCTTTGAGAAATGTCGTTTTATTCTTATTGTATTTAACTGCATTTTATAGAACTGATCAAGTTAGTTTATTTTCTATGGAAGGAGTGTAAACAATTTATTTTAGTTTTTTCTGTATGTTGGTATGTAATCCTATCTTTACTTGGAAGTTATATTTAAATTCTCTTCTTTTCCCTTACATAAATCTTCTTAGGTAATCAATCCAATTTGGTATTATTGCTAACATTACCAGCTCTCTAAGGATTTGTCATTTTCTACTGAACCTAATTAGCTGCTTAAAAGAATCAAGACAACTTTGATAAATTGGTAGAAAATGATATGTTTGCATATTGAGTAACAAATTAGCCAATATTTCATATTTGTAACGAGCAACCTCAAAACCATTGTTTCCACATATAATTTATAAAGTGCAACATACAATCTTTCTGTTGCATCATTATTGATTTCAAGATAAAGTTTAGATGTACTGAGTATTTTTCATTGAAAACATTCCTTTTCTCTGTGTTCTTGAAATTTTAATTCTATATTTTATAATTGAATAATTACTTTATTTATGTATGTTCCATTAGAATCCGTAATTTTGTATGGCTAACAACAATTGTGAGGAACTCCAATATCATATTATATATCCAAATGAAATACAACAGCTATGACTGCATGTGCTATCCGTGACAATGTTAAAATAATGCATTGATAAACAAAGGAAAAGCTTGATATACTAGTAGAGTAACTCTTAATTTCATGATTGTAACATAAAAATGTAATTGTAAGAATTGAATGCTTCCTTTTATAAATTTATAGGGTTTTAAAAATGTTGATCGTGCTCACAATTTTAATATGAAGCGCTTCTCCTCTTCATGCAAAATGTGCTTTGGTAAACGCTTTTACATCCCAATAAAATTATAAAAAGAAGCATTCAACTCTTAATTAATGGTATTTTTTTGTGGGTATGAGTGTTCGTGAAGCCTTAGGTGTACTGCTTTTATATTGGAAGCAGATGTATGAGTACAATGTCCTAGCTGCATTAAAGTAGTGTTACCAAGTATTTACAAATAAAACTTTTAGGTTTTGGGTGGGTTTTTTTTTGTAATTCTGTTAAAATCCATATGGAGTTTCTACTTGAAATATCTTGTTCCTTCTGTTTAAGTTAACCTATAACTATATCTGGTCAAGGTCTGGCAAATACTTACAATTTCTAATGATATAGGGCTGATAACATAATTACTGCCCCTTTGAGTGTGGAAAGTGTATTGCTTGCAAATTTTGGCATAATATTGTCTATACTTTGAGTTAGAGCTAAAATAACTTTTGTATAGCTGATGTTATGAAGTAATTACATGAGACTATATAAATTTGATACAATGTTGAATCCCATCCATTCAGCCTAGATTATTGTTAAAGTTATGTTATGATGGACATCATTTACATTTAGAAAAGTTAATTTATTAGCATTTGAAAATCAGATTTTGAAAAAGATATTGGGATTGGCAGTCTCTGGTCAGTCATGCTCCTCATGATTTGAAGTGGTGTCATGTTTTCTGATCAGTTGAGTTTTGAAAGTATTTTAATGTCTTATGTAGATGCAGTAAAAGTCTATTCTATCAATTTCTGTAATTTTTGCTTTGATTCAAAGCAGATGTTTATATGTGGAAAATGTTTTGAATAAGAACTTTACTAAAGTACTGACCATAATGTTTTTTTTTATTTCAGTTATACGATAAAATCAACACTCAAACAGCTACTCCAGTCCGCCCTCCACCCTCCGATGCTGTCCATAAAACAGGGGAGGTAAGTGGTGACCACAAAACAGCTATTCCAGTCAGCCCTACACCCTATGATGCAGTTAAACAATCAAGGGAGGTAAGTTGGAGTTCTCTCCCTTATTCCTATTCCTGCAACAGTTTTTATGTTGTGAATGGTGCAAGTTAGAAGTTTTAGTTGTTATGAGAATGTCTTAGAGCATTTGATATAGTTATAAAATTAGTATTGGTGTCTGAATATGAAATATTTTCTGGTTTATCCCTTTGACATAGATTGTGTACTGGATATGCATAGTTACATAGAGAGAATTGAAAACTGGTTGTCAAAATTGGAAATTACTTCAAAAAAAGTCACCTGACAGCTAAACCTCCCTTTCAATTATGGAAATTTTTGGAATGTCGTTCCAGAGATACAGGACTTAGAAGACAACAAGGTTTTTTTTTAACGACCTTGACTACCCATGAGGGTCTTGCAGGGTCAGTATTTAGACTGTTAGATTTAAGTCAGGTTTTCTTGAAGATGGTTTAGTATAGGTTAGCTCCCTTCTGGTTTTGAAATTTTCAGGTTTCTCTTTCCAGAGTTGAATGCTGTGATTCCCAGTGACAAAAAAATGTGGAAAAACTTGAGTTTGCATTCAAAAATCTCAAATTTTGAGAAACAATTTTTTGCTTAGATTGCAATAAAAGTTGATATATTGGTACAATTGATTCCTGATCTCAAAATTGGAGTAAAAACTAATTATTTGTTAAATAATCTCAAATTTTGAGAAACATCTTTTTGTGCAAGGATATTAATTAAAATTGATATGTATGTATAACTTATTCCAAATTGATTCCATTTGTGAAGCACTTTCCATCAACAACCAGGCTCCTGACTTAGGACAGGCATTTTGCTTTGTTTTTATCCGAAATAATTATTTGTCTATGTGCTACACACAAAAATATGCAAGCAGGCCCTTCCTGACATCTTCAATTTTCTAGTTTTCTCTTTTTGTCTGTGCATATGTTCATTAGTTCTGCTATTTTGATTTGTTGAGGTTCAATCCAAAATCTAACAAGTCCCCCTATGATGGAGATCCAAAATCTAACAAGTCCCCCTATGATGGAGATCCAAAATCTAACAAGTCCCCCTATGATGGAGATCCAAAATCTTACAAGTTCCCCTATGATGGAGATCCAAAATCTAACAAGTCCCCCTATGATGGAGATCCAAAATCTTACAAGTTCCCCTATGATGGAGATCCAAAATCTAACAAGTCCCCCTATGATGGAGATCCAAAATCTTACAAGTTCCCATATGATGGAGATCATAACTTTGAAAAGCAAGTTCCAGATTAATTAATTTTCAGGACTCGTCTAGGTAAGTAAGACATAAGCATGGCCACAGAATATACATAATACTTGCTACCAGTTAAAGCACACTACCACTAGAACAAACAAACAAAATTGTTAAGTATGATTGATGTAGTACCTTTCTTACTGACAAATGTAGTTACATAAATAATATGTACTGTTAAAGACTAACAGAATGATAGCTCTTAGTGTACTTTCTATTTTTGCATTTTGATCAAGCTAATGTAAAATGAGCCTATCCTATGAATGTGAAGAAAAGCATTGAAATTATCCATATTAAAATTAATTACTGATCAGAAAAAATCATAAAGATAGTTCAGAGACGGGTTAATTAATTCTCTTTAGAAATGGCCAGGTTACTGTCTTTGAAATTGATGCTAATGTATTAGGTTTTATTGCATTGATTTTGTGGAAAATATTGAATATTATCCATTAATTCTAGAGTTACTTCTTTATGAATGATTCCAGTGAAAATCTATAAACAATATAACATCTTCAAACATTTTATGTAGTTGTTTTTGTTTAGTATTTTCTTCTGTGTATCAGATAACCTTGAAGTAAGCATTTGCCTTTATTTTTTATCAAAAAATAGTAACTCATAGCTAAGCATTTAACCTTCAAGTTAAATTTAATTACAGGTTTTGGAAACAATCAAGAAACGTCCGTCAGAATATGCAACAGTCTGTGAAGAATTATCGCAAATCTTATCAAAGCCACATATCACAGTAAGTCATTATATTGTCATGGTTCTTAGTCAAGCTACATATCATGGTAGGTCACAGATCTTAGTCAAGTATCATATTATGGTAAGTCATCAGATTGTCAAGGATCTTAGTCAAGTCACATAGCATGGTTAAGTCTGCACATTGTCACAGATCTTAGTCAAGTCACATAGCATGGTAAGTTTGCAGATAGTCACAGATCTTAGTCATGTCACATAGCATGGTAAATCTGCAGATTGTCAAGTCACATATGGTAAGTCACCAGATTGTCACAGATCCTAGTCAAGTCACATTATATGGTAAGTGCAGATTGTCAAGGATCTTAGTCAAGTCACATGGCATGGTAAGTCTGCAGATTGTCACAGATCTCTGTCAAGTCACATAGCATGGTAAGTCTGCAGATTGTCAAGGATCTTAGTCAAGTCACATATGGTAAGTCACCAGATTGTCACAGATCTTAGTCAAGTCATATTATATGGTAAGTCATCAGATTGTCAAGGCTCCTAATCAAGTCACATATCTTGGTAAGTCACCAGATTGTCAAGGATCTTAATTCAAGTCACATAGCATGATAAGTCACCAGATTGTCAAGGATCTTAGTCAAGTCACATAGCATGGTAGGTCATCAGTTTGTCAAGGATCATAGTCAAGTCACATAGCATGGTAATTCATTAGATTGTCAAGGATCTTAGACAAGTCACATAGCAAAGTAAGTAATCAGATTGTCAAGGATCTTAGTCAAGTATCTTATTATGGTTAATCTGAAGATGGTCTAAGACCTTAGTCAAGTCACATAGCATGGTATGATAAATTTGTTCTTTCTATAAGCCATACAGTATCAAGTATATGTACCTCAGGCATGATAAATAAGTTCTTTCTATGAGCCATATTGTATCAAATATATGTACCCAGGCAGGATAAATAAGTCATTAGTATCAAGTATATTTACCTCAGGTTTGAGAAATAAGTTTTTTCTATGAGCCATAGAGTATCAAATATATGTACCCCGGGCAGGATAAATAAGTTCTTTCTATGAGCCATACAGTATCAAATATATGTACCCAGGCAGGATAAATAAGTTCTTTCTATGAGCCATACAGTATCAGATATATGTACCCAGGCAGGATAAATAAGTTCTTTCTATGAGCCATACAGTATCAAACATATGTACCCCAGGCAGGATAAATAAGTTCTTTCTATGAGCCATAGAGTATCAAGTATATGTATCTCAGGCATGATAAATACATTATTTATATGAGCCATGAAGAGTCAAATATATGTACCACAGGCAGGATAAATTAGTTATGTCTATAAGCCATAAAGTATTGGATATATGTACCTCAAGCAGGATAAATAAGTATCAAGAGATATACGTATGATATATGGGTCATGAAGTATCAAGAGAAATATGTCCCTACAGCTGTAACTTCCCTTTAGAAGTTAGGCATTATCATTCAGAATTAATTATCTCAAAAAGAGATGGAAAGATTTTATTTCAGATAATGATTAATCTTACATAAAGATAAACAATTGAGTTGTTTCCCTTGCACCATACTTGTCAATATACCTGCCGACTCATGAATTTCAGTAAAACTAATTCCTCACTCTTTATTGATCACATTCAATGTAGGGTCATTAGTGGTTAAAATAAAATATTGTATTCACAGCTGTATATATTAAAAAGTCCCAAATTTGATTTACTGGGTAATGGTCAATTAGTACTGATCATAAAACTATATAAGTAAATAAAAATATCAGTTTGTATTGGAGATTATATATTTAGAGTTATTAGTATCTGGTTAAACATAATAATCTGATTGGACTATGTTTGGTAAGTTTGTACTTTGTTAGATTGATTTAGATCAGACATATCTTAGAATATGTCCTAAATCTGTATTTTACATATCTGAAGTAAAAATCAGTTTGATTTCACATGCCATTTATCTATTTGACAGTTGTAGTTGAATATTAAAATGCTATTGATGTATAAATTGGATGTTTTATTATCTCCTTCAAAAGACTACCTTTTTGATTGAGATTTTAATGTGGATTATTTGTGTAAAAAGATTAATCTTTGATGTTTTTGCTGATTTTTATGTTTTTTTGTTTGACTAACACTGAGGACCATGTCAGAAACAATTCCAGTATACAGTGCACAATCTGATCGGATACGAATTTAGGAATTTTTATACGACCGCAAAAAATATTCGTCCGAAGACACATTGGTTTTCGTACTCTAACTTTAGTTTAAGTGAATGGATCTCTATGGAATTTTACCATAAGGTTCAATACCACAAAAGGAAGGTTGGGATTGATTTTGGGAGTTATGGTACCAACAGTTAAGGAATTAGGGGCCAAAAATAAGCATTTTTGTAACTTCCAGACATAACTTGTGTGTTTGTGTATGGATCTCTCTGACATTGTACCACAAGGTTCCATATCACAAAGGGAATGCTGGGATTGATTTTTGGGGGTAATTGCCTAAAAATTTTAGGAATAAGGGGCCAAAAAAGGGGCAAAAAACAAGCATTTTTCTAGTTTCATGACAATAACTTGTGTGTAAGTGTATGGATTTTTCTGAAATTGTACTACAAGGTTTTAAAAATTTTAAGTTCTTAGACCACATTCATCCTGTGTCAGAAATCTATGCTGTGTCAAATATTTAATCACAATCCAAATTCAGTGCTGTATCAAGCTTGAATGTTGTGTCCATACTTGCCCCAACTGTTCAGGGTTCGACCTCTGCGGTCGTATCAAGCTGCGCCCAGCAGAGCATTTTATTTATTAGTAAAAAGCCAGAAGGGTAGTATCTATCCATAAGACCTCATCCACTTTGCAGACCTTCAAGTGAATCTATCTTGATGATTTACCTATTATTATGTATCATCAAAGCCAAATGAAATTATACTTTGTGCATGAGAGGCAATAAAGGCCCCGGCAGGATAGTAGTTTAAAGGCTCCAGCAGGATAGTAGTTTAAAGGTCCCAACAGGATAGTAGTTTAAATGCCCAGTAGTTTAAAGGCCCCAGCAGGATAGTAGTTTAAAGGCCCTAGCAGGATAGTAGTTTAAAGGCCCTAGCAGGATAGTAGTTTAAAGGCCCCAGCAGGATAGTAGTTTAAAGGCCCCAGCAGGATAGTAGTTTAAAGGCCCTAGCAGGATAGTAGTTCAAAGGCCCATTTTTGATTTATCATGACAAGTTACAGGTCAAGTATAATTTTCACGATTTTAGCTTTTCTCTTTGTTCAGTTAAAGCCCTTTCCCTAGAATTAAATTTTTGATGAAATACTTATTAATTAGTAGATTTCTGTTCAAAGGGAAATAACTCATTTTTTAAAAGACAAAATGACATTTTGGATTTTTTTCCTTTTCTTTGGTAAATTGTTTGAAGAATTTAGTGGTAGGTTTGTTTGTCATTCTTGAAGATATTGATTTGATAATTAGTATATAGTTTTATCATGACAAGTAACAGATCAAGTTGGAATTTTGTTCCAGTCTGATAATTTTGTGCAGAGTTATGGTCTTTGGACATAGAAAATTCACTTAAATAATCAGTTTTCAACAGTTTTTTTCGTCATGCTTGAAGATTTTGACTTGATATTTTTATGTAGTTTACACCATGACAAGTTATAGATCAAGTTAGAATTTCGTTCCATTACAATGAATTTGTAACCGGTAGGGGACTATGTATTGCCATGCAATACTCACAGAATGCTTGTTTATTATATTTTATATTTAAGTAAATAGTAAAAATATGATTATGGTAAGGAAAATGATTTTCTTGAATTATAACTTTATAGGAAGATAAAGTTCTATTTATTTTGTTTTGATTATGCTGCACTGTTTGTCTGCTCAACTACAGTTTTCAAGGTACATAATATTTACCAGGTAGGTTTGCAGTATACACATATTTTTATGATATAAGAATTGTCAGGATTTCCATTTCAATCAATCATTTACAGAATGAGAGGTCGTAGAATGTAATCAGTATTGGCCAAACATTAAAAATCATTTCTCAAAGACCATGGGAGGGCTTACTTTTGTCCTAAGTTTCTAATGGAAAGGATTGAAATGCTGAAGAAGAGTAAGCAGATCCTGCTCCACATGTAGAACCAGTCATATTGCACATGTAAGTTCAAATTGGTTGATAAGTCTCATTCTGTGATGTCACATTTGAGGATTGTGGTTATAACAAATGGAACATATCCACTGTCATCTGTCAAACAGATATAACAGTCAACCAACTCATGATGGCATCCGTAAAGTTTTTGAAGGGATGACTTGAACTTTATCACTTGGAACTCTTTGTTTAATAGCTTCCTTGTAGGCAGTAAACCTCTAAAGCATTTTCAACGGCAGATCAGGCTTTAATAGATTATTATGTAACCAATAGGTTTTCCACTTAGTTTTTAAATGTGTTGCATATCTTGGAAATAAAGCTAATTAGAGAAGGCTGTTTTATGCAGATGCTATGGCTGTATAATTAATATTTTAGAAGCACAGACAATTTGTTTTCTTTCCCTATAGAAAATAACTTTTCTAAGCCTACAGTGTTACTGAATCATGACATAAAAAGCGTGAATGAATTGATTATATAGTCCCTGTTTCTCACCATCATTTGATGAATCTTGACATTATTCCCATCATACTCCATTAATTAAATCAACATCATCTTTTAGCTTTTGTTCATACCTTTAAACTGTATCATCTGTCAATGATAAAAAAACCTGTTGGTGAAAACTCATCTTCTGTTGCACATAAAAACAACACTATTATCTTGTGTAATGTTTGCACTATTTCATAGGATGCTGGTTTCTGTTTGGAATTAAGCAGCAGCTAGATTGAAGACTTATAGGAAAAATGATTAGATATTCTTCATAACCTATGAGGAGTATAATTATTGTTGGCTCAGGTGTTCAGATATAGATTTTATTTAAAAATCACTTTATTGTGAGAATTGAAGAATTTCTATAAATGGCAGACGCTATAGAGGACAATTTAAGGA